CACACTAATATCATTACAGGGACAGTTCAGTGGAGCAGTGGGTCAGCGCTCAGCTGCTTGTGACAGAATTAGAATGGCTAACAGCTGAGCTTCTCAAGGGTGGCGTCATGTGACCTGTCCCACCCACAGGCCCAAAGCAGCTCAGGGTTAGGGTTACTACTTCCAGTTTCCAGCTTGTCTGTAATGCAAGGACGAGGAAATCTGTCTTCCTGTGAACATTTGTGTCATGTTACCGTGTAATGGAAATCTGACAGAAAACTTTACCGCCATCCTGCGGGTGGCCACACCTTTCGGCTCAGCTGTCACTAACGCACGCTCTCACCTACGTTCCTCTGATTTTGCTCCCGCACCTTCATTTTGAGGTGTTTTTTATGTAATGGCTGAGACCACATCTGAGAGCTTTGACACAGAATGTATGAAACAGCCATGCTATCTGTGATGAAAGGAACAGCTTCTGCAGCACGTTCAGCTCTCGTGTATTGTTTCCTCGCCTGCAAAACAACAGTGTGCCCCCCCCCTCCCCCCCGTGTTGGTCAGCAAAGCGTGTAAGGCTGAAAGAGCTAAGCGTCACATGCAGCTATTACGCCTCTGAGTGACCCAACAAAAAGTTTCACAACAAATAACATGGTTCTGAACAGTTAATGTTGAAAAACCTACGTTTGGATAACTGTTTCATGCTGTCAGTGCAAAACTATTTCATTAAATTGAGGTTGTTCAGATAGCCATCTACAACAGGTAAGATATTCATTGTTCAAAGATTTTCTGCAGAATCCTACTTTAAAAAAAAAAAAAAACAATTACTGCCACAACTGAATCAAAGTGAGTTTAAAAAAAAGCCTCATTGCACATGAAGGTAAAAATCTGCCTTCAAACTCCAAACCCAGCTCAAACTTTAGACATGTTTGTGTGTGATCTTTTATGAGGAGGAACTCATAATAACTCGAAATGCAGAGTCACATTCTGGATTTGCAAAACACAAAAAGAACTGAGCTAGAAAGATTACAGCAAAAAAAAAGGTGTTAAAGTGACACAAAGTGCAGGTGAAGAAGTTAAATCATCTTTTATTCCAAGCACCGAGGCCAGTGTAGAGGTCATTTTTTACTGTGTTGTACTGGGAGGGCTGGCTTTACCACAGGAATGAGGTAATATTGACATGGTTGTTTGAACCCCATCCCTTCCAACCAACCCGGGATCAATACAGCAGATCAATAAAAGTCATTGGCAATAACTGAACTTCTCCTGTGATCACTGAAGGAGAAAATTCGAAAAAATTCCACTCATATGCGTCCCGGCGTGTCCATTTATCACGCTGAGGGGTTGGAATCACGCACTGAGGTCTGCACAAAACCACGCACGCACACGCACAGAGCTCTTCTGTGACACTGCATGATTGGTCACTTTTTCCCTCTCCTCTCTCCCTTCCTGCTGAAATAGTTTGAACAAAAGAGAAGGAGGGGGTGGGGGAGTGCTTTGATGGGGGAGGGGAAGTGTTGTCACCAGGCTGGAGGACCGGGAGGGGTGGGGGTGTCAGTGAACTGGAGAAAAAAAAGGATAGGGTCCTACAAGACCCCCTCCCTCCTCACACATACAAGCAGAAGCAGGATCCCGTTTCCATCGGCTCCTCCTGTTGTTGCTGTATTTTTAGGAATATTGGATTACTTTCCGGACAGACGCACGAGCTCAGCCAGGGATGGTCGGGTCAGTAACCATTTACTCCTTTGCTGCAAAATGTGTTTGGTTTCAGCAGAAACGCAAACATTTCCTCCTCTGCTTCCCTTTCTTTCCTTTCGCTCTTTTCATATGCGCTCATGGTTTTTTTTTGTTTTTTTTTTGACTTTGCAAATACTTTATATATTTGCACGCAAATTGACGGCATTCCTATGACTTGTTTATTTACTATTTTTCTTTTTTCTTTTCTAGAAATGTTGCCTAAGCGGTGTTAGGAATTGTCTTTCCTGGAAAAAAAAAAAAAAAAAAAAAAAAAGAAGGACAAAGTTCAGTTTACTGCTGTTGTGTTTAGTTTTTAAGGTTGATTTGAACAATTATTTGGTAAAAGCTTAAAGGTAAAGATAGATAAAAACATCAGAGGCATCAAACGCAATAAATTATGAACATATAGGGTATGACAGATTGTTGCTGCAAATATTTTCTCTATATTTTCTTGTTTTCTTTGCCACATGTATGCGTTATATTGCAGAAATAATATATATAATACATTAATGCATGGTTTATTTTTTCTAAATGACCCTGATGGAGTAAACAGTGATTCTGTGTCACTCTTCAGGTGGCAGCATATCAGGCTGGTGTTGAAGTGTGAGATGAACCATGGAGCTGAGCTGGAGGCCCGTCACTAGCAGAGCCAGCAGGACAAGCAGGAGTCTCTCATCAGGAAGGCCAGGCAGCATGCAGCCAGGCCCCCAGTAACAAGCAAGTGGACCCGGTCCTGTTCTCTTCACCTGGGACCAGGGCTGCAGAATGCTCAGTCCTGCCGCCCCATACAGTGAGTCAGTGTGAGCATTTTGTGTTGACGTGCATGCAACCGCACTATACGTGTTCCTGTTTGAGCGTCTGTTTTCCTGTTCAGGTTCTTCATTTCCCTCTTGTGATTGGTTAAAGCTGGGTGGGAGTAGGTCTCTAAGCATGTTGAAAAGACAGATATGCTAATGGATTTAGCAGCTGAGTCTCGAGGCTTTGCTTTGGGGAATTTCACATTGACTGTCCGTTTTGATTTCAACTTCATGTTGAAGTGGGTCAGTTATCTAAAGTTTCAGTGTTTGGCTGTGTACTGGCATGTTTTTTCTTTTAAAGGGGGATTTGTGTAAACACTATAGTTAGTATCTAACCTGTTGAGGATAGCTTTTGAACCTCACTTTGGAGAAACTGCTTGTTTCTGACTGGATTGTCTGACAGGGCCAAGACCAAAGGGGATTGCTGTTGCCTTTAAACATCTCACATTGCTAATATTTCAGAGCGGTTCGCACAAACATTATTTTATAAGCCTTAACTTTGTCCTTAACTTTTCATTACACATTTCAGTAGAAATATTGTGCTGTTCTTTTCTCAGATGCCCCAGACTGCACATGTTTTACAGCTAGTTAGCTGCTGTCGTTATTTGTGTTGGCGAATAAACATATAAATCTGTGTAAATAACCTCGCAAAGCAAGATTGACAGCAACGTAAGTGTTGATAAGGTGTCACATTTGCATGAACTGCAATAAAAATGTTTTGAGATTTGAGATTATAAGGTGGCAGCAGTCTATTTGAGTCTTGGCCTGTTTTACTAAATTAGCTCATCAGTCAGGTCAGATTTGAGTTTTATTGCTAAACTGCTCATTCAAAAAGCATTCTACAACAGGTACAGCATTATTGTTCATTTAACAGAACCCTGCTTCAGGAAAACTAGTTATACTTAAAAACAAAGGTTCTTTATGAACATTTCTAACACATTGGCAGCACAAACTTAATTATTAGGTTATTGTTAGCGAAGGTGGGAAGTTAAAAAAAACAAACATTTGGTGCAAAAACATTTAAATTTGTCTTCATCCTTCTGCCCAGTTAAATCCTAACTGTGTAGCTAAAAAAGAAAAATGGCCCCATCTTGTATATTCGGCATGATAATTACAAGACACTCCTGTCTTGGCTTCTTGATATGCTCCTATTGACTGACCGGGTTATTGATTAGGCCAGGCTTTAACAGGATTACAACACTAACCTGATTGGAATAACACGAAGAGGATTTCCTTCTACATGTTTTTTTTTTTTTTCCGTTTATAAAGAAGACCACAGTAAAATGTCCTGAAGCGTTTTCTTTTTTTTTCCCCTTCCTTCAAGTCTTTAAAGGAAGAATGAGGGAGTTGTCTGAGCAGATAGCAGTTTTAGTAACGTGCATTTGTCACATTCCTCCCTCAAAGTAACTACTCACAGAATTGTGTTAGTTTTGCTCCTACTTGACCAAACACTCTCGTAAGGTGGAATATATCTATATCTTCTCCCAATGAAATGTCCCACATTACCAACACAAATAAGTAAACATGTGATCACCCACCCCTCATTAAGGGGCTCTAATAATGTTGATAGTGTGACGTGAAGAGACTGATTAGTCGTTTTAGCACTTTTTAGTAGCCGTTACCGCGGTGAAGCAGCTCTGTGAATGAAAGCCGCATCGTTAGTAACTCGGTGTCAACAGCTTCTCATTAGTGTTGAATGGAGGGCCACATAAACATCAACCTCTGTTCCTCCCCCCTATTCAAACACATTACTCCTCTTTAATAATCATGACGACTTTTTAAGCAAATTGCAGTGCACCTTTGATTCCTTATTAACAGCAACGGTAAAAAAGATGTATGTTGCCGAGACGGAGAAAAGAGCAACGTGAAGGACAGATGGAGAGGACGTGAGGAGGGACTGGTCAGCTGCAGGCTGATATATGAGTGGACACAATAAGCAAGGGGGGGGGGGGGTGCAGGCAAGGCCAGCCTCTGCCACATGTGAGCTAGAGGAGTGGGGGGAGGGTAAAACTGACCACACAGACTGGGGCACACAGTTATGTCATGACTACACGGTACAAGAACGGAGAAAAGGGGGCTCGAAGGGCTGGAGTGCGGAGCAAAATCTGAGTAAAGGAGGAGGAACGTGAGTGTGAAGTAAAGAGAAATAATGTCAGAGTCTCATACTGGACTGGAGCACACCAGGAAAACAGGAGGAAATGGAAGTAAAAATGGGAGGGAGGGTGTTTTGTGGTCACATCTTACATGACAATCCAGCCCTCGTTTACTCTGTAGGCAAGCAACAAAGACAGCTGGGCGATGTGCATCCATGCGTGTGTGAAGGTTCATTTCATGGTTTGGATTATATCTCTTCTCCACTGACTTGAGCAGAAGCATGAATCAGCTTCTAACACAAACCACCATGATTTATCAACACTTAAATGGAAAGTAATCCCATTTTTGAACATTTCTTCTCGTCCTTGTTCCATTTCTGGCGACGCACAACGTCTGCAGAGTGTACGAGGCGGACATGCGCTTTGTAAATACATCTCAGGTTAGATTCCAGGCATTCCAGCAGCTAGACTCATGGACGATCAAGTCTGCCTGTTGTCCAACTGAAGCCCCGAACTCTGCATGAAGACCACAGTGTGGGCGTGCACATCACTGTGTGTGTGTCTGTGTGTATTTCCGATTGTCTGTGCATCTTCAGGGACCTCTTTGTTTATTGTGAGTGGAGCAGAAGCGCCAAGAGAAAGCCTTCAGCTACATAAGGTTGGCTTTTTTATACTCCCCATCCAAACCATCTCTGATGCTTCACAACCCCCAAATCCCAGTCCCAGTCAGCCCCTTCCCCCACATGTACTTCCATCTTATTAACCCCTAATTACTCATACTCATGCGTCTGCTAGTCAAACTAGCCTCCATTCATGCATGGAAAAATAAAGGATTTGCATAATGTTGCATCTCTGAAAGAGAAAACTGTGGTTAGATAATATACAAAACATCCATGTGACAGTAGCTTTGGTGGAAACTGGCTGGGGAGGATCCTGGGAGGTCTGTCCTCCCACCGAACAGACAAAGCTGCTGCCTATAAGCTCTTTTTATGTTACATATTATGCTGCTTGTTAAACTGATAAACTGAATCCAATTATTTATACAGTTCAGTTCATTTTTTATATAGAGTCAAAGATACTGTACAAAAACATTCACATACATAAAAAAGACAATTAGTAAAAATGATCTATTGTAAGGAAGCCAGCAGATTGCATTTAATCTTCACTTTGTCACAGTCTTTCATCCTGAGCAAGCACATTGGCAACAGTGGAAAGTAGGGGTGCATCGATTGCAGATTTCTGTCCGATCACTGATTTCTAAAAAGTCTGACCTACCAATTCCGATTTTGGCCGATACTGATTTTGTTTTATAAGCAACACTGTCAGGTGTTATAAGGTCACACCTTCCATTTTCCAATCTTATTTTATTGAAAAACATACCCTTGAACAATATCCTAGAAACAATACAAACTTGTTTTAACTGGCCATGAGGTAGTGCTCTGAAATATAAATGAAGTTTAGACAATTTTTGTTAAAACAAAAAAAATCTGTAAAATCGGTTTCTCTTTTAAGTATCGGCCGAGCTCCGATTTCCCAAAAATAAGGAAATAGGGACCGATAAATCGTCCGGCCGAAAAATTCAATTCAATTCAAAAATACTTTATTAATCCCAAAGGGAAATTATTTGTTGTTGTAACTCGTTATCCTCATTTCATTAAGAGATGTTATAGATACTGATGGCTGTAGGCAGGAAGGATCTCTTGTAAAGGTCCATCCCACAGTGGATCCTAAGAAACTGGCAGCAGATGTCGTCTGATCTGTCCACCCAGACTCGGCTGGCCTCTTGGTTCCCCCGGGCTGTAGGATCGCCCAAATGCTGGGCAGAACTCCTCCCAGAGCGATGGCCACTCCTCCCAGCAGTCTGCCGAGCTCCTCGTCGCTGCGGACAGCCGGCTGTAGGTGCCGAGGGATGATCCTGTCCTTCCACTGTCATGAGCTGTGTTTCCTGCTAGTTCCAGGATCTCAGTGGTCAGGCACTCAAGCACAGCTGGCTGGTAGATGAGAATGCATCCGCAGAGCCTCCTTTTCAACTCATTTGAGATTTGGGGCTGTAGTTGAGATATTATTTGCGCTTTTGAGATGTTAATCAGCTGCTGTTGGTTGTAGAAAACTGCCTTGTTGCCATAGTTACGTATCATAACAAATGTCCAAAACTAAAAAATGTTTCAGTAAAAATCCTTCCAGCTGCACAGCATCTGATACCAGAGGAAACAATCATCCAAAAAAAACGTGATTTACATCCAGAAAAAGAGAAATTAAATCAGCCGGCTGATAAATTGTCCGGCCAATAAATCGTTCGGCTGATTTATCGATACATCCCTAGTGGAAAAGAAAAACTCCCTTTTAACAAGAAGAAACCTCCAGCAGAACCTGGCTCAGGACGGGCGGCCATCTGTTTCGGCCCGGAGTATAATATTGTATCTTATATGTAGTTTACAGGGGGATTAAAATGATTAATTAAATAAAATGTTTTTCAACTGCTGGTAGTTTTGCATATACATTCAAACTAATTACCCGTACAAATTAGTTAAAGTATCACTCCAATGGTTTCTGTTACTATATTAAAAACATGTTAATAAATATAACATGAATAAGCTGCATAAAGTGTACAAACAGTAGAAAAAGACCCAATTATCGACAGCTTTTCCAAGAACTATTAGGAATAAACAGTGGAGCTGTGCGTTGTACATATGAATACAAAACGTGTCACCAGTGTAAACATTTGAGCTCATTAATGTTCACATCAATGATAAAAGTACAAATGTTTCCACCCTGCAGTGGTTTGTGCTCAAAACAGTAACATTAGAGCTGCAAAGAAACAAGTACAATCATGCTCCGTTGCTTTTTACTTTACTCACATGTAGGAGATGTGGAGAAGAACTGCAACTCTGCACAGAAAC